TTTAATTTTTTTTTTTTTTTTTTTTAAAAAAAAAAAAAAAAGCTTTATGATTATTCCAAGTGTTTAAATAACAATACACTTGCAGATTGCTTCGGTGTAACTAGAGATAACACATCGAATATTATGTTCGTCTTCAGATATTATAATAAAGGAAATATATATTCCTTCCTCGATTCTTGTAATGAATTACTCTGTTGGAGAGATACTGTCGATCTCTTATGGTCAATCGCGTCAGGGATACATAAAATTCATGAACAGGGTCTCATGCATGGTCATTTACACGGAGGTAATATTTTAGTTGAATCCGAAAGAGATATAATGGACGCAAGGGTATCTGACACCGGTTTACACGGACCACCATTTAACACAAATTCAGAAGGTATCTATGGGGTCGTCCCATTTGTCGATCCTGAAATTTTTAAAGGAAGTGAACCAACTCAAGCTTCCGATATTTATAGCTTCGGTATGATCATGTGGACAATATCTGCTGGTGAACGTCCTTATCATGATAGGCCACATGATCGTTCATTAATAAATGACATAGTTGCCGGGTTAAGACCAAAACCTGCCGAAGGAACCCCCACTCTTTATATTCAATTAATGGAAAAATGTTTAAATGCAGACCCACTCAAGAGACCATCAGCATTGGATTTATATATTTTATTTGAAAAATGGGTGGTTGCTATTTGTGATGATCCCGAACCATCTGAAATATCAGATCAATTTGATCGAGCAGAAATCGCCAAATTTAGTGATTTTAAGAATTATGGATTAATTCCATTATCACATAAAGGCGCAATCTACCACAGTAGAAATCTAAACTTAATTTAATTCATCAACTTTATCGTTTGTTTACTACATAGGGGTAGAATTTTTGAAACTTTTCGTCAAATCTATTTTTTTATCTTTTTTTTTTTGTTTTAACTTTTCATCAGTCGTAATTTATCTTTATATCTCAAATTATTATTTTTTTTCTTTTTATTGTATTTTATTATTGGGACAAATTTATATCTTTATATCTTTTTACAAATAAAGAAGAAAAAATTCTTTAAATAAAAAGGCGAACATTGTTAATTTGTTAATTTTGAAATTGAAGTTGATTAATACAATATATAACTGATATCGTGTTTATTTTTTTAAAAAAAAATATTTACGTTTTTTTTTTATAGTACATGACGTTATATATTTCAAGGGTGGTTCAGTTAGGCCAGTTGAACCTGATTGCCAATCAAAACTACATTTCAAATTTAAAAGTATTATAAAGTTATCGTATTGTCTAAAGATCACTATAAGGAAATTTGCAGATATCAAACTATTGTAATGGTATTCAGTTAGCTTTGATACATCCGATATCATAATTAGCTTCGTGTAAGACTGAAATGGTTTATATTTTTACATAGCAAAATGTACTCAAAATTATTACAAATACAAAATGAAATGAAACTATTGAAAATTATAAAGTAATTCTTTTTGATTTATTAAGAAAAGATGCGTAAATACTAAATATACATAAATCAAGAGATTGAATATTAAAAAAAAAAATAACTATCTGCTATGTTAATGAAACTAACTATATAATAATTAAACTAGAACCCATTATCAGGATCGCCTTTCTATCATTCCTCAAGCAAATGAGGGAACAGCACGTCTTTGGGTAGCCCATTATTACAATCTGTCACCTACAAAAACAAAAGTTGACCTATAAACTACAAAAATTCATTTACAAAAATATAAAAACCTATCCCTCCCCGTCGCCTTCTTCTTTTGGTCAATAACAACAACAAAATCCCCGATAAAAAATCGTCATTGTCATTGAAAGATCCTTGATTTAAATTCTTGCCATGTAACCTATCGTCCGATTCTTCTTGGTAATAGTCATAGTGCCTCCAGGCCTGCGCTTCTTTTATTCCACTCTTTTGCTTTTATGTGAAAGAATTAATAATAGTATTCTGACTAACATGCCCAATTCATCATTGATTTCCATCCCACCAAACATCATAGCAACCAAGAAGGCCTCCTGTGATCAGTGGGTCCGGTGCAGGCTTAGCGAAAAGCCTTGAATTTCAAACGGCCAAGAAGGTCTCCCGACACGCCATTCCCAGTTGTGACTCAACGAAAAGCCTTGAATGTCAGACGACCGAGAAGGCCTCCCGACATGCCACATTCTCTTCAAACTATCTTCAGTAAAAAAAGATTTTTACTTGTCTATCGAATTGTGATGTTTTGATAATTTTGAATCCAAAGATCTTACTTTTCTCATTGACCCCAGAAAATCCCATATGCAAGGTAAGTAATAAAGGTTGAAATTTTCTTTGTTTTTAATAATGATCCCATTTCGATTATCTCTTCGTAATTTATTACATAATTAGGATAGTTACGTAATTGTTAAAGAAGAGATGTATTATCAAACTTCTGGATTAAAAAGAAACCATCAAACAATTAGAAAATAAAAATCACGTTTTTTAAACCAAAAAAGAAACATTTACCTTAAAATTATGGCTCAAACAAAAAAAGACATCTCAACAGAAATGTCTCGTTATACAGTTCCGTTAATATATTCTGATATGATCTATTCAGATGTATCTTCAAATAATGCTTTTTAATTATCGTTTCACTTCCTTCTTAATTCCATCTCCCTCGCTCTTTAGTCCAATTTTTATTCACCGATCTCACTATTAGTCGTCCAAAATTAAAATTAAGAATCATTGATAACAAATTTTTGAATAAAAAAAGTATACTATAAGGTCAACAGGTTTGCTCAACACAATTATATGTGATGTTGTTTTGCTAATTAAATTGCTTGCTGTCAGATAGCAAAATAGAAATTCTTTTAATTATGTCATTGTTAAAGGAATATAATTATTATACTAATAATTTTTCTATGGATCGTAAAAATTTTTTAGATAAATAGCAATAAATAGAATCAATAATTGATAATTTTGATGAGTTCATAATGTAATGTAAGGAAGTGGAGAAACGATAAAACTGATATTTTCGTTCATCAGAATGGGGAAATCAGAATATTTCCTTCTTTTTGGAGGTGGAATAGAAGTAACATTTCTTCACGTAATTTTGAATCCATTTAGTTTGAACAAACCACTCCCACAATTTACTTGCCTTGTTAACATCTATTCTATGGAGTTTTTGTGCATCACTCTTACGAAATGGTAATGATTTTTTCATAGCCGTTCTGGCAGAAGAAATTAATATGTATTTGGCTAATGGAGAGAAGCTCTTCCGTAATGGTTGGTTAGAAATGAATCAAAACTGGGCTTGAGAAATATAAAAAAATTACGTTATTTAATATTCTATGTTATGAAATTAAGTACGTTTCAAGAAAAGAGATTGAAGTTTTTCTTTTAACACGTTAAAAAAATAGAATTACCTGAAACTTTTGAATATATTTTTCTAATATCACGATATATATTAGCATTAAAATAAAATATCCTTCTTCAATACCATCAGGAATGATTTACAATACTTTTTCCTTGAAAATTTCACAAATTCTTTATTCGATAGTTGTTTTTTCATCTAAATTTTTTTTTTCAATATGCAAGTGGTGACGTCAATAATTGCGACACAAATTTCTAAGCCACGCAGATCACAATTTTTTTCATTATATAACGCTTTTCAGATCATCAATCAACATTTCTTAGATTTCTGAAAACTGGAGCCGGTGATGCTATAAATACTTATAAAACATGATTTTTTTTTAAGAGACAATGAAATAAATTTTAAGGTAGCATATTGTACTATATATTTATGTGCTATTATACAAAATTTTTTTATTATAATATACTAATTGTACTATATATTTATGTGCTATTATACAAAATTTTTTTATTATAATATACTAATGATCAAATTTTTACGTTTTTAAAGATAAAAAAAGATTAAATACGATTGATTGTCTTCAACAGCAAATAGTAGAGCTGCGACCCGTTACCGGGTATACTCGGATATTTATGAGTACCTGGATAATGGAGTAGCAACTAGCAAATGGGTAAAAATGGCCGTTTTGTATCCGTTTTTATGTTGATACAGGTATTGCTCGGGTAAATTGTATTATTAGTAGTTTGATAAGTTCATTAGGTGTTTATTTACTTATTATTGTGCAATAATTATATATTTTTTACTATGAAAATTAAACATCTCAATATTGTGTAGAATTATTTGAACGAGGATTCACGTAAAATCAAAGCGGTAAAATATTTTTTTATTTCGAATTTTATGTTATAATCTTATTACAGGTATTTCTTCAATATTCTTTTATTTATTTTATTTTATATATATATATATATATTTAACAAGTAAATACAATTAATTAATGAATATAATCTTTAAATTAATTGATAGTTATTTACTTCGGATATTACGCTTATTATGAGATTCTACGAAAAAAAAATAAGAATATGGCTCGTTATGTGATTATCAATCATTTTTATGATGGCAATAATTAGCCGATGATGTCCTTTAATCTCAATGATGTATCCTAGTTTCCTTTTAAGATTCGTTATTAAGACACGTTGAATTTCTTATATAGTGTTTTAAATTAGATACTTACTCTTACTTAAATTAGATACTTATTGTAGTTCATTGAAATTAATATATTTCGCATGATGGTAGTGTGTAGTAAGAATTTCTTTATTGTCATCAAATGTATTATGTTGTAATTAAGAGTAAATAAAAGTGGGATCAAAACCTGATAAACGTATTAAACTATTAATAATGTATTTAAAAATTAGGGTTTTAATCGAATTAAGTATAATCACTCATTGATCGAGTTGTTCAATTAACCGATTGCAAAATTTTGTCATTCGATTTAAAATTAGATTGATAATTCGATCAAGTCAGCCATGATTGAATGATATAAAAATATGATAATTGTGATTTAAAATTATATAGAATACCTATTATGTATCATTGTTTAGTCTATTTTTTTTTCTTTTACCCTATGATAATGTTAAATTAGGAATCGATCTATTTGAAGTTCAAGGAGACATTAATTATTTCAGTAAGAGATCATACTGTTGTGAAATTTATATAGCCAATCAACTGGTACTTGTGTAAATCAAATTTATAAATAAATTTTTTTTTTTTTGTTTCATGAAATATAACGTCTTTCTCTCTTTTTTAAAAAAAATTTTTGAGTTGCAAAAATATATAAAGTTTTTTCACTTCGCTTCGGACTAAAAAAATCGTATCAAAAAAAAAAATAATAATAAAATAATATGAAATAAAAAAAATCATGTTTCTCATTCTACAAACATTCTTTTCACTAATATTTCAACATAAAAAAAGAGAATAAATTTTATATATTTATGGTTTATGCCTCTTATTATTCAAAAGGTATGCTACTTATATGCTTCTTTTTTATAAATAATTTATACGCACGAATATATCACTAATATTCCTCTTTCAAATTCGTTCATATAAAAGAACAAGTTAAACCGAAAATACTATTAATAATAGTCCACCTAAATAGAATTATCTAAAATATACAAGAAATCCCGTTCTACATTGCTTGCGATAAACCTCATCCTCAAATATCAATTATATATTTGAGGACGAGGTTTACCGCCAGAATATGACGGAATTTCCTGTATATTTTAGATAACTCTGTTTTATAAGGAAATTTCTGTTTCTTACTAAATTAAAAAAAGGCAAGTATTTAATCGTGATCTTTATGATAATGATATTTATTAAATATTCAGTGTTATTTATTAATATCTTGTTAAATTATAAAATTAGAAATAAAAGAAGTATATGACGTTTAATAGTATTCATAGTATCACAATTCTTTACCTCAAGGTATTTTTTTTTATTAACCTACTTTTTGTATTTTAGATTATAAAATTTATTAATCTTATGTAATTATAGTACCAGTCAAAGTACGAAGAACGTAGAGGGATTAATTATTTCGATTATATGGAAGTAGAGAAATTTTTTATTAAATATAATATACGCGACATTTCAGATCACGCGTCATGTAAAATAGAATATTTCCTATTTTATCATTTAACAAATAGTCAAATAGTTTATTTTAATATCGTGCTAGTGCTATGATTATAGGTGGAAGCGGTATTGGTAACTAGAGAAGATAGGTGGCGGCTAGGGGAGAGGGATCAATAGATTTTTTTTTTCAAATTATCAGCCAAAACTCAAAAACCAGAAAGCGGATCGATGATTTTTCTACGAATAACAGGATGAAGAGGAAGAAGTCGAGAAAAAGGAAAAGTCGTGGTTCAGATTCCATATAAATTTCTCTGTATTAGTAAAAGTTGGCGATTTTATTTTTTTCTCATAATTTACTGCACCCATAAAAGAAGTTTTTCAATTTTTCGTTTTGAAATACTCTGGAAAAAAGAAATTTACGTTTATTAATAATATTAAATTATTATTTGGATTTTTTAATTATTTAATAAAATCACACTATTCAATATGAATATGATTTTACAAAGAATCTTTGAAACGAATGAATATATGTTGGGAGATTTATTTAATAATATAATGAGGAAATAAAAATAGGTAAAAAAACCTGACAATTGGGACTGAGCATAGCGTGAACGAAAGTAAGTTGAATTAAACGTAAGTTATTTTTTTTCAAATTTATTACAATATATTTAATATATTTTCTATTTTTTCTTTTGTAGAACATAATACAATATGAGTTTGATGTAAATGATTTCAAAGGTATTATTTGATAATATCAATAAGCATTAATTTCAATTAAGATAAAGGTATGTGATTTAGGCAACGCAAACTCTACAAGTAAATTTCCTTGATTTCCGCTAATCTGAAAAGTTTTATTAATATTTAATTTCAGGATATTTGATATTCTTTTTTTTATTTAACACGCCACGCCAAACACGCCATGCCATTTATAATTATTGTATATTTTATTATATTTAAATAAACATATAGAAATAATAAATAAAAAAAAATTAAAATTACATTATACCTCTAAATTAAGTTAACCAATCCTCTAAATAAATAATTATTTATATATTTGTAACATTTTTACATAAAACCTTTAAATGAGAAATTACATTTAAACTAAGTCAAAAAGAACAAATTCTGCAGCTTCTTTACCAACAGATTCAAAAATAACTTCTTCACCACTAACGACTTCGGTAATGAAAGCGCCATCACCTGGTTTCAATGTAGTGCCATCATTAATTTTTAATTGACCACCTGTACTAGTTAAATGAACATATAACCTTCTAGTTTTATCTTCACCACTTAAAGATTTTTGAACCGTATGTGCAACTTTATTTTCAGGTTGCAATATACTGGCAAACATATGAAAATCTGTATGAATTCCAATCGTCTTCGAATCTTGTTCAGATGCCGGAGAAATTATATGAATTAAATTATTGGTTTTAAGAGAATCAGGATACGTTTTCGTATTATAAGCTGGGGTAAGATTTTTATCATCGGGTGAAACCCAGATTTGAAGAAAATGAACAGGATGAATTTTATTTATGTTATATTCAGAATGCGATATTCCTGTTCCAGCAGTTGTGAATTGAACATCACCACGTTTAAGAATTTCTACATTTCCCATTGCTATTAAAAGATAAAAAAAAATTTTAATAAATACTGTGTACATTTCTTATTTTATTGTAACTAAAAAAATTTCACATGTAATACTCACAATCTTTATGTTGCAATTCACCAGAAATAATATATGAGAAAATTTCAAATTCATGATGTGGATGTTTTCCAAAACCATTATCAGGCTGTACAATATCTTCATTAATTACACGTAATGCGCCAAAACTTTTATAATTTGGATCATAATAATCAGCGAATGAAAATGTATGATGAGTATCTAACCACCCATGATTTGCATAACCACGTTCTTTAGAAGGACGTAAGACAATTCTTGCAACCATGATATTTAAATTTATGTTTGTTTTTAATGAACTATTAAAGAATTCTTTTCTTTGATTAAATAAAATATTGATATTATAGATTTTTCTTCTTGAATATTGAAATAATTGTTCTGTTGGAGAAGAGAATGAATTTATCGAGTTTTTTGGCCATGGTATTTATACTTTTTTGACAGTGATACATTGTAAACAAAAAAACTGGATTTGTAAGATGATTTCCAATTAATGATGATTTGATTAATAAGAATATTTTTTCTGGGTGACTTTTCAAAAAATAAAATAATTCTTAGATATTACTCATAAAAATGCAAAGGCGGATTTAATTTATAAAGGATTTCAGATTAAAAAGATAAAGAATTACTAAGTATTCTTTTCTTTTTCTTGCAAAAGAAGGTATTTGAATTTATAATATCACGTGGTCAGATTTTTCAATGACAAATCCAGTAACACATGTATTAGTAATACGTTTTGTATTATTATTACGATATGTTGATCTTTTTATACTTGGTCACGCCTAGGGTATATCAGGCGGGGGAGTTGGATCAACTCGCATTCGCTTAATTTAGTTTTGTTTTTGTAATTCGTGCTTTTAACATTTGCTTGTAATCATCCCAGTTCCTGCCTATATTATAAAAATAAAAATAAAATAAAAAAGTAATACGTTTTTGGCCATGAGCCCATGACATATAATGATCATCATAATTTGTAGCTATTATTATTTTACACTACGAATAAATTAATAAAATTTAGTTAATAAAAGAATATTTAAATTAATAATGAAAATTAAGAGGTGTTCCTTTAAGAATATCATAAACAATTGATATATGAAATTTTATAACAATTCCATCGTGAAATTCAATCAAGTATTTGGACAATAATTCAGAATAAATAGTAACATGATCCCTATAAAAAAAAAAAGAAAATTGTATTACAAATATAGATAATAAGGTATTTCTGACTTTTGAGAGATATTTTGAATATTTTGACCTAAAAAATTTTTGATTTTTTTCTAATTCAAAAAAAAATGTATAGATAATCCTTTCATAAAAAATGTATTTCGCGATATGATGATGCTAGAAATAAATTGAGTGTATTTTGTTGAGTTGTTGGATATGTTGTATTGACAGGTACATTGGTATTTCACAGATAGTACATTCCATTATTTCCATATTTCCAGATATTTATTTGTGTGAAAAGCAGAGGCTAAATTACCTTACTCTCTGTTTTTACAAAAAAAAAGAAACTGCATTATCAAGATATCACGAAAATTCATGCTATGACTATACTTGTTACTAGATAATACTATGAGTACCTGTATACAAAGGTTACATTATGTTTTGTGGTAGCTGGACGATTTAACCGTATCTTAATGGCAACAATGATGATACAATTTACTCATTCAACAAGACGGAAAAAAGACAGTATTATGAACAGGAGATGCATGGTAGAGTTGATTTAATTGGTGAATATAGAAATAAAATTAGTAGTGCAGTGTAAGAACTTCACCGAAAACAAAGTCACATTAGAGAATTTATTGTATGTATTTGTAATTATTTGAAATTTAGTAAATCTTATATGATCTTAGACTTATGTTATTAAAATTGAAAGTGTGGAGTTTGATACAAGAGAGGTGGGAAAAGTTGTCACTTTATCTTTATTTGGAATTGATGAAGGGTAAAGATTGCTTAAATAATATAAAATTTAAATGTAACTGTTAAACTAGAAAATTAGGTATAAATTTTTTTTTTATAATAATTAATTAATAAACTTGCTGCAACATGATGTTATGATGAATATAAGTATACTCATATTTAATTGTTTCGAATTGGTCGTGTACAATCCTCTGATTTTGCGTTGATTATTGATGGTCTTTTACGTCCCATAGCCTTCTTTAATCAACTAGCTTATGTGTAGCACAATAGTGTGAAGTTTTTGAATCTTTTAGACCGAATAAAGCTCCTTTTCTACAACTAAAATGCTTACAGTGTTGTAGCATTTTTTATAAACTTTCATTTTTTAACTCTAGTCAGCATAGTGAGATTATTAAAGGATAGGATATCAACCATCAATAAAAAATATGCAGATAATCCGCAGTTATTTATTTCTAATTGTGTGTTCATCTATTGCATGAAATTCACACTATTATAAAAAAGCTTCCTTGGGAAACATCTTTTGCAAATGGAATGCATCATATCAGATTACATATCCTCTTTATATTGCGCAATTATTAATTGATTTTATTGGATATGTATATTTTTCAATACATTTATATTAAGCATATCTAAGTTAAAAATTTTTTTACTAAATAATTACTTTTATGAGAATTGTTAACGTTACGTTCATTCTGTTTATACAGTCAGCCAGTCAGCAACTCATTACAGCTTAACGTTTGCCCACTTGTGCATAAGTTGAACATATAATGTTTCTAACATTTTAAAAATTATGAGATATTATTAATCTATGCCAAATTTGGTGGTAAAAGAAACTTTTTTTTTGATTAATTAATTAATAATTACTAATTACTTTTTTATTTATATATATACAGTATATATATATATTTTCGTCAGATCGGGTTCAGCGAGTTGCTGCGGTGAAATGGTAATCGCTGGCTTGTTTCATTTTGGTATTTTTTTTTTATATTTCTATATTTAATTTATCTTGGATGAGTTGAATCGGATTCAACGAAATACTTTAAGCATCAATTCTATTTCAAAACTTTTTTTTTTTTTAATTTCTCTATTTAATTTTACCGATATTTTTTTTAATTTTTCTTTTCGTCGAAAACTCATGGATCAGATGTCTGTGGTACTGGGAACCAGATGCACTTACTGCTGCGGTGCCATGATAAGCGCTGACTACCATTAAAATATTAATAAGATGACCACAAAAACAATGTTAAATATTGGCAAAATTCATTGAACCATTGAGAATTATTCCATCAGAAGTAATCATGATGCAATGTCAAATACTTATGTGTAAAAATATCGGAATATGCGGTTCAGGAGGTTTAAATTACGATTACTACCAATATAATTGTTGTAATTCCGGAATTTGGCTAAACGAATATTATAATAAATTTCTATTTTTTACTTACTGTAGTACCCAACTTTTTTTTTATTTTTTTAAACGCGCGTAACGATTGAATCACGTGATAAGCTCTGCTGTTAAATGAGGAAATTAACAAAATTATTCTTAAATTTTTTTCTTTACTTATTAGTTAATTATGCAAATACATAATTTTAATACTTCAAAAATTTAAAAAATCTTAACTATCGTAATCTGAATTACAGTAGAATAATTCCCTAATTATTTGCATCTTATTAACTCGTCAAAAATCTTTGATCTTTTACTAATATCTACTCACAAATGTTATTTAATTTGAATTATAAATTTGGATTAATTAATTTTCATTTAATTGAATGATAATTGAAATTTGGAAAATGTCTTAATAGATAGTTTATTTCAACATGATAACAAATTTTCAGAATAAATACTCTCATTATATCCGAAGGTCGTTAGTCCCCTGTTTTTGAAAAAAGTATATGCAAAGTGATCACTTTTTTAATACGAGCCCCTAAATATATTAATGTCGAATAAATTAGTTGTACCAAATGTCATCAAAAAGTAACGTCAGAACTTTAGTTTACAAATGATCACAATTTTAAAATATTTTTTTTATAAACAATAAATTTCTAAATAATTTTTTTTTTATATAAACAATAACAGTAATTCAAAATATTCCGATTTATCCTCAAACATGAAATGAATAACAATAAATTATTTTCTCTAAATAATTCTTTAAACGTATTATATTGTAATGTAAATTTACGAAAAAAAAATAATAAAAAGAAATAGCTAACAAAATTTAATATTTAGTACTGATGAAGTCCAATGGACGACTAAAATATATGGCTCCTTCGTGACGTGATGAAGACTTAAGATTTAACTTTTCCAAATTTACGAATGGAATTTCAGTATTATCAAATTGACTTGGTAAATCGGAAACCCATTTTCCTAAACGTTTGTAAAGTTGGGATGCTGTTGGTCTATTCGATGGATCTGCATCTAAACATTGTAGCATTAATTTAGCGAAAGAAGGTGGAGTTCCACTAACATCACTTGGTCTTAATCCTGAGCAAATTTGTTGTATGAGTTTTGAATCATGGGGTCTATCACAATAAGGACGTATACCACTTGATAACATCCACATGATCATACCAAAACTATAGATATCGGATTCTTTTGTTGGTGTATCTCCATCAAATATTTCCGGGGCAACGAATGGTATTACACCATAAATTTGCGATATCTGTTTGTTAAAAGGTCCATGTAATCCGGTATCAGCGATTTTAGCATCAATTGTATTTATATTTCTTCTAACTAATATATTTCCTCCGTGTACGTGTCCATGAATAAGACCAGATTCATGAATGACATTGAGACCCGTGGATATTGACCATAACATATCTACAATATCTTTCCAGAAGAGAATTCCCATAGATTCATCGAGATACGAATATAAGTTTCCTTTTTCATAGTATCTCATAACGAACATGTAACATGATGTTGGATCTTTAGTCATGCCAAAATAATTTGCAAGCGCTCCATTTTGTAAACATTTGTAATATCTATATAACTTTTTTTTTTTAGATTAAAAAGAAAAATCAAAATTACTAGGCGATAATGCTGGCTGACTTGATATAAAAGTTATAAAAGTACAAAAATACTTACTTGAGTTATAAATTCTTGACTCATGTTTTGAGAATTATCTAAACGCTTTAGGATAACTTTAGTTGGACCACTACGAATCCATAATTCAGCTTCTTCATCAAGATTCCATCTGGGTCCCTCCATCCATACTGCAGAATAAATTGAGCTGAAAGAACCTCGTTTATTAATATTTTTGATCAAATCAAATTGTTCAAAATCAATCCATTCTAAATAGTCCATACTTTCATTAGCGTTTAATTGGGTATTTCTAATAAATTCGTTTATTATGGAATTTCCACTGGTCCATCTATGAAAATTTTCTTTTAAAAATGCAATATCACAATTTTTACACCACGCTACAGTTGATAGTTGTCGTGTGCAATCAGAGCAATTGCCGCATAAACCTTCTAAAACCATAAGAGCAGTTTAGATTAAAGGAACTCGTGCAAAACTTTTCTTAAAAATTATAACAATTTCCTTATATGATAATTAACTAAAGTTTTTACATATTACAAAAAATGACATTTTTTTAAATAAATCATCAATTTTTACGATATATTTAATTTGCCATAGAAATGATCGGCATTTTTGTAATATAAATTTCTGTTTTACGACAATTTTAAAAACGTTAACATAACGATAAGGCGACTATTCTAAATTTATTTAAATGTTTTTTTTTATACCTATACTGTATATAGAAGACCCGATGAAGATGTATGTGGCGTTACATACAATTAACGGATGTTGATCGAGGTTTATAGTCATGTGACTGCGTTTTATAATTAGCTAAGTAATCATAAAATGATCCGAGTATCACTTATAAACAACACTGGATTTACTCCCTTTCCACAAGAAAAAAAATGCGCAAAATACACAACGGTACTATGGATTTTCTCTAAGTATTCCTTATGATAGGGATTTACGACCCGGGTGCGTTCTCATAAATTTTACCAATTTATTGATATTGTTCTCTACTCATCCTCAAAATTATAAACCTAACTGCACAATACCACCATCGCATAAAAAAGCAATATACCCGGTTTAACCTATCACAACTTTAAAAAACCTCGCCTATAATATATACAGAATCAGCAGACATCTGCTCTAGCAATAGAAAATGACCCTATAGCAACTAATTGTACCAATCCCAAAGAATTAATTATTCTACTCCAATAACTAAACAGTAACTATTATATACACGAATCTCAACAAATTGCATTTCACATTAACGATCCGCTCAAAAAAAATCAAAGATTTACTCATACTTAGTATGGCGTTTCATTTACACTATCCAAAAAATTAAGAACTTACAAATATCCCTTATAAAGTTAAAGCGCATTTAAACGATATCAACAATAACACAACCGAAAGAATAAAAATAATCTTACGCCTATAACGGTATAGAAATAGATAAATATACGCAAATGGATAAAATACGTTATTGCTTTACTTTCTGTTCTTTTCTCCATAACGCTAATATCAAACCCGGAACACCATTCAAGAAATTGATTGGCCTTATACTGAACAATGACTGCACTATAATCACACGGATACAGTTTGTACTATGTAGTGAGAAATATAATAAAATTTGTGGCTTCAGAGATTTTGCCACCAAATACCAATGGGCAACATTCAAAAGCGCACTTATCCGGATTTATATCTACCCGTGGAGCAACGGAAGATAGTTTTTGCAGCAAACATTTAACCACCATTAATAACCTGTTACTACATCACCTTACTGACTTCGTTGAGTCGTTTTAAGACCACGACTTACTCACGTTTGACATACATACTATGATTAATAACTCGCCACCTTTTCAATCTGTACAATCCCAGGAACACATAATTTACCTTCTATTGATTTCTAAAGAATCAACGTATCTAGTCGTCACATTTATTCGTAATCATAAAACCAAGCAGCATGTCATTTTCCCTTTCATGAACACAATATAACCAAACTAGTTCGGGAGACACATAAGTGACATAACGAAGTCTCAAAAATGGAAACTAACGTTCCATCAATGTTACTAAGAAAAAAAAGAAAAATTCTTAAAAAACAAACGACAATTGAAATCGATCTACACGAAATGGCTCTCGATAAATGAACCGACGCCCCACACAAATAACAGGTGTGACAACGAATCCTAATGTAAACTCGAATAACAAAGATTAGATCATGTATACATCCTCGAACTTCTTACATTCAGGCGCAACGGACCTCACATATTTCTTATATAAAGATTTTTAATTTTTTTTAATCCTAATAATATATATAGATTTAACTTCTTTTTTTCATTTACTTTTTTTTCTGTTTTGGACCTCCCTTCAAACAAATTTATACAAAGCTAACGGCCGCGCTACGCTAACATAAAATAACAGGCATGACGATTCCATTATTAGTGGTAGTAATTTATGTCTAAATAAACAATCATTCAACTTAGCGAGGAAAAAAGAAAAGAAAAATGCACTTGAAAATTTTTCTTTTATTGAAAATTGCAGGAAAGTCTATTTACCATTATCACTATAATTTGGAGCATGAAAATTTTCTTTTTTTTTGGAAAAATGAAAGTGAAATTTTGCAGCATTTTGAAAAAGCTGTCAACCAGATCTTAAAACGTGTGATCGACAAGGTATTTTTAAAAAAATTTAAAAAAATAGGACTTTGCGATGGACGATAACGTTAATTCGGCAAATAAATGAAAAGACCTTAAAATAACAACTTCTTACGATTATCTGGAACAAAGAAAATAATCCTAGACAAATATATTCGAAAAACAAACAAATGGTATGAAAAATTCCTCAAACACTCAAACCCAAAACACATACCACCATTGATCGGCAATCCTTAAAAGAGTGGATATTACAGCATAATCTTACAGAACGCATACCTAAGCAATATGAGTTCAAGATTGAAACATATTACCCCATCATGGACCGGGTCATCGAAGTAGAAATGAATTCTCAATGTTCATCACACAGACAAACACTTATTTAATATTATTTCTAAATACAAAATATTAATACTATCAATCCCTAACATACATGTATCTACCCGGTGAATATAATGGTCAACGGCTTAGTTCCAGCAGAATTCTATGGGTTCAGTGTCTAATTCGTCGTCTCAAATGATGGTGTAGGAGTTTGTCTCTGCGACTGTTCCTATAGGTTTTGAACCGATTTTTTGTTATGTCTCTTTGATGTTTCCATTTTTTAAAATGTTCGTTTATTTTTTCAAATCAGGGTATGCAGGTCCAAGTAAGAAAAGGTAGTAGTAACGTTTAATCTCGATAAAAGAAGATATGTGTGCCTTGAAAATCGAGGAACTTTTTTGAATATTTCAATCCTTATAATAAATCTCTCAACCAGATTGTACGACCTAACTAATTGGGTCATGTAGACATCATCTAACGACCCATGGATTGATTTCACAATTTGATTTTGATCTTTCTCAGATTTATTCTTTTTCCCCATTTCTCTATCCCTATAAAAATTTTTTCAGAAAAATGATCACGTGTCTGAATTTCTTCGGAATAAAAACTAGAAAAAGGATCATTTATCGGAGTTTTTCCGAGAATTTTTTTATAGGGTATATAGATTACCATTTATGTATTGTATTATAGATATAATCTTGTTTATATCCTGTAGTACTACTTTATTTCTTTATTTATACACGAATCATATATAGAGCTGCGACCCATTGGATCATACCAAATCAAAAATAGTATTACCCGACTCCATAGCGGGTATTACGTAATATCCGGTATTATCCGGGTAAACAGGTAACGGGTCGCCGTATAACAAACATCAAACTATTGTATTGTGCATAATGCGGCAATTACTATAAATGATCTACAGCAAAGCCATCACAAACCGGTTAAATCTTCTATTTGTTTTTATTTATGAATAGTAAATCAGATTCTTATTGAGATTTTCACGAATATATAAAGATCACCATGTTTCCTTGCTAAAACATAAACTTTCAATTTTTTATTTGCTGGGTTAATATAAAATGACAACGGGAGAAGATTCATTAACAAAATTGATACGCACGTTACAAGATCCTGCGCCTCAGTATGTGTTAGGTTGCATACCGGCTATTGCAACAATTGGAGCAGCACCAGATAAAGGTTTAACGAATAAGTTATTATGGATATTACGGTGTCTTGGTTGTCCGTTTACCGGATTGTTTTACGCCTGTGGCATATGTAATGATCCAATAACAATGAGTACATACTGGCTCACATCAGAGCATTTTATGAAAGATGGGAAGAAACTTCCCTACAGACCTTTTGGTCATTATCATACTATCAAAATAGCAGATGAACAGGCAGAAGTTATTAAATTACTCAAAGAATGTATAGCAGAATCTTCTGCATTAGATAGACTTAGTTCGTTGGCCTCAGCGTACTATATACTCCTTGGTATATTTTCAGGGTTAACCAAGGCGATACGTATAGGACCATGTACTGGAGAGGATTGGCCATATCTACCACTAGCATTAGCCTGGACATTTCCAGCAATTTATAAGAGAGTATCCGGAGGAAGAATGGTAGTAAAGGATCCTAGAGATAGGTTAAAAGATATGCACGTTGTTGTGCATGACTTAAATTTCCACGAAAGTCATAAAAGAAGTGCCCAAGTTGCTCAAATTATGATAATCCTTTTATTCTCAATAGTAATTCCTTGGACGTCAGTACTTCTTTCCTATTTTACCCGTCCAATAGGATATGGCTGCAGGGGCAAATATCTCACAATATTGTCTTCTATTTGGACATTCAATAGCTTTATTGCATATATATCTCATATTTTAGGAGAAAAATCTATAGAGGGTAATATATTCATTCATGGATGGTTTTGCCTTTGTGGCGTTATAATATCTATTCTTTTGTTTTTACTAGGTCTGCTAAGCCATACACGATCATGGTGGACAGATCTATTCGGAAAAAATTGTGACGTTACGTGTATTGATACATAGATCATATCACATACACAAATAATTTAACTAGTGACATAGCATGTGTAATTGTTTCACTGCTTATTTTTTATTAATAATTTGGATGAATGTATTAGTAATGTATAAACCATGGAAAAAATCAAAATCTATCCTTATAATTAATAAATAATAAGATCCGTTTTAGTTTTTAAAATTTAGAATAGTAAGACAACCAACAAGATAAACTTGTATATAGAACAGCAGTGAAAAAAAGATGTTGATTCTTGTTTAAACATGTATAATTTTTAGGGCGTTAGTTTCGTCATATCGACCTAATCACGCGACTTTTACTTAATTCTTATTGAATAAAATAAATAAAATAATAAATAAATAAAAATTAAATTGTTTTCCTGCTTCTGTTAATTTTCAGCAACTCCCACTGTGTAAACCTTCACTATTGACAAAAGAATTACATTTATATATTCAATTTAATATTTCTTTTTTACCACATATAGATACGTATATTTCAATAATGGATACCTTATAGCACCGAACGTGAATGACCTAAACTCCATCAAGAAAAAAAGTTTGATCTTTATGGATCAAATTTCGTCAATAGATGGTTCATATCTTTTAACATAGAACGAAATCAAGAACCAATCACAAAATAACTTTAAAGGTCGTACGTCGAATTGGTTTACGGAGTTATAACAACAGGCTACTTTATCTCAACATAATCGACGCCTTATCAACCCTTTACAAACACCTTCGATTACCAACTTACACTATGATATACCTCCAGATTTTTGTTTTTGGCCAAAAACGAATGGACGGTAATTGAATCGATCGAATAGGTTAACGATCCTTTTGCGCTTAGTATAACTTATAGAGACATTTTTATTTATATGCCATTTCCCGAGGAGGCTACTTGTTTGACTCCAAGAAATTTCACACCGGTTGCAAAGGATGTCAACTACATATCGCGATTTACGTCACCATGTTCTCTTATCGAATTCTCTATTCACTCTAAAAATTCAAACCTAAAGCACATATTCCTAAGCAGCGACTTAAAATAGACTTACCGTTAATTACATACAAAGGAAATACCACTTTCAACCATAGCAGAAGGATTAACCATTGCCACAGCTTTAATTTCCTAATAATAAGTCACGTGATAATATTTACCGACTCTGCTAATAGTATCTCGATATATCACTACGTTTCTAACCCGCTTACCTCTAAGAGAAGAACTTTGAAAATTAATAACCATCTCACCCCATCATCTTTTCCATGCTTTCCATCATCCAATACATTCTATGTCACTGTAAGTTATTATCCATTGCTCTAAAAATGTCCCTAATTTTTCAATTATATTGATTAACGAGTTATCCGCTATTATATTGATTACATTTCTTCTTTAACTAATAAAAGGGATAAATTATTATTCCTTGCAACATTGCTTTAGTTTGTCTGCTTCTTTTATTACCATTTCCTATACAATCCGTATCTCGTTTTCTTTACTAACTGATATATTCATATACTTATTTTTCTTTATATTTGATTGACGTCCTTTACAGTTGATTAAGTTTGAAAAGTCGTTTCCATTTGATTTGGTCGACTACAAGATGAATACCTATATTCTTATAACATGTACTTTTTGACTTCTTTTTGTATTTACTAAAAATTATATTATCTTCTTCGTTCCATGTTATTATTTTATTGACGTCGTTTGACGTGTATATACTGTATTTATTTTTTAAATCTGTATACACAGTGTATCGAACCCAAAGTTAAAAAAAATCACTCAATATTCACGTAATAATAATTTTAAATGCTTTTACCTTCGCCATAATGCTACCGTTACCATCTTCATATTTCCTCAATAAATTACCCGAGGTACGATACAATTGCAAAATAAATGGATAAATAACTAAGTGATAGTTACAAAAAAAAATGGAAATCTCAATTGGATCAAAATGATCGTAGAATAAAAAATAAGTCGTATGTTTTTCCTAATCTGGCTTTTGTGTGTTGTTCTACAGTTCTTTTTATTATAAAACTATAAGTTTCCGCGAAGTTCTCTGTTAAACTCTGCTTAATTCTTAATTATCTTTAGACCTCCGTAGAGAAATAGTGTTAGATTAATACTTATATTTAGATTATGACACCCGCCCGATCTCCTTAAGAACACATGTATAAATTTTTTGAAAATTTTTTTGTAATTGTAATACGAAATCGTCAAGGTGGCCATCTTGAGGTTTAATATAAATAAACCTGTTGTAAAAGAACCGCCCTAAACATGTCAATATAATAAAAAAAAATTTATTATGACGACCGGATTTTCTACATTTTATTATACCATATTAAAAGAAATATAACGAGAGTTTCATTTAGAGAGTATATATTGTCCGTCCGCATAATGAAATAATGAATTATGGCGAAGTATGAAATCTCATTACAATGACATGGCTTTTAGGGGATTATCGTTGTGAGCAAAAAAAAAAATTAGAACTAAAAAAAAAGGATTATAAATACCTATTGTTGATTGTTCCTTTCTCTGTGCATGCACTTTTGTATTCCACATACTTCTGATTCATTTTCACACAGTCGAGAATGATTAGTTTAATCTTTATATTCGACAATAAAAATTAGTAATTACGAGATATTTCATTGAGTTTAAGAACTACTATAATATTTTCGAATGTGAAAATTCCGAAATACAAAATCCCGAGAAACGTAGCTGAAGTAGGATTAGGATATTCATTACATTCATTACATTCATGTGAATACAAGATTTTGAAAGCGCGGAAATAATATTATTAGTATAAATAAAATAATTATTTATTAGTATGATTTATATCATGTAAATGATCTAGGGATACATAAATAACACTAATAAAATTTACTAAAAACAAACTACGTCTAAATGGTGTTAAACCAAAAAAACAAAGGTATATTATTATTATTGAGATTAAGAAGGAAATAGAAAAGAGAAAGTCATATTTATTTTGAATCGTTAACCCTCTAATATAAAGTATATAATTAAGTATGTGAATTTCTAAGGGTTTTCCATTATTTAACACCGACCGCCGACACGAGGAATGCGAGCACCAATTCCGATTTTGCATGCCAGGTTACAACAAGACAGCTTAGGAGCTTTGCAAAGTAGATCAGGACATCTACCACGACAAGAATTAGCACGACACTTTGCAACAAGAGAGGCGCCAAATCTCCTAGCAAGATTGATAAGAATAGCAGGCAAAAATTTGGCTTCAACATCTTTCTCATCATTCCCTTTACGTTTTACTAAATGATCGTCAAGTGCTAAAGTAACAGTAGCAAAAATAGCCAAGATGAAGAAAAGGTAGAAAAGCTTGAATTTCATTTTGATTTTTGATTTTTTGATTTTTTTACAAAGGAATGTTCTTTCAAGTCGTGTGGAATTGAGGGGTATATATTTGAAAGGTCGTCTTTTTTTCAGACAACTTTTTTGATTTTTAATCGTTCTAGTCGTGTAGAATTGAGGGTATATTTATAACAAATTTGAAAAGTTGTCTTTATTCTACATTTAAATTCAAAGAATGATTCAAAGAATATTCCACAATTTTTATTTTTCGTGTAATAAATCTTTGATAATCTTTAGAGATATGTTTTTTAATTGTATGTAATACAATAATATTAATTTGATATAAATCACATTCGAACTAAGCAATTAAGGAGTTTAAATGTGGTTTTCATTGCTCATTTATAGTTATTGGTCAATTTTTTTTTAATTTAAACTAATGACACATTGTAATATTAATAAGGACGATCTGCAAAAATATGGTTTCGATTGGGAATTTTCGATCGATCAAACAGACCGGGTTGTTCACGTTACACCTAGAGCTTTTCACTTGATTATCCTATGAATAATTTAGGACAATTCGTTGGAGAAATTTGAATTCCGGATATCCTATGATATTAGAACAAATTATTCCAGAATAATTCGGATTATCATAGGATAAAATATGATGAAATCATTAGAGTCATTTAGATTTAATTTATAGATATTTAATCACCTCTCTATTAAAAAATTTAAAAGTAGAGTAGTAAATTTAATACTTGAATCTATAAACTTTATTAAAATTCAAATTTTAACATAATGAAATACAAAAAAAAAAAAATATAAACTTAACTAATGTTTTAGGACTTTATTCAAATTTTTGCAGACACTTGTGATCATTCTAAATCTAGAATCTAGATATTAAGCGGATTATCCTGGATTATCCGTAAGGATTCATAGGATTATTCATAAATCAGGATATCCGTTTTAAAATTAACTGGATACAGTTAGGATAACAGATAATAGGATTATTCGGATAAATCCTAGGATATTATCCGTTCAAGGAAAGCTCTAGTTACACCAACCAATAAACGCGATCAAAAAGAACGATCGAACATTTTTGAACTGGTCTAGTAGGCCAATGTTTACCTCAAAATTGACTAGTGGACCATTGTTTGCCTCAAAATTGATTCGCATCACATTCTGCAATATATGACCGCATATTTGTTTGATTTTTATCCTACCTTTTACTATACTAAATAAAATTATATGCATAAATATTTTCAACGATAAAAATAAATCCCACATACATTAAAAAGGAAAAAATAAAATAAAAAGATAAAAAATAGGCATTGACACAGCGTTTCACAGTAAACATCACCAAATTTGTTTAGTTATATAATAGATGATTGATTTTATTTTTATACTTTTTGTTTATATGTTTATACTCTGTTTTAAAAATGATTAGAAATTTATTACTAATTAAATTGGATTTATCCCAAAATAATACAATAAGCAGCCTAAAGAGCGTGAAAAAATGTTATTTTCGGAACACCCAAAAACGGATGTATAATGATCGAGATCATGTAATGCAAGTGATCTGCTTCCAATATTAAAATGTCACTTTCACGTGATTTGTGATGTCGATCATTTCAGTTACATTAACAGTTAACGACAAAAAAGTAAAACAAATCAATAAAATTATAAATCTTTTTTATTAATGTAATATAACTTTATAATGCATATTATATGTATTGCTATTATAATCTTTCCAAGTACTAAGTATTGTATGTCGCTTACTAACTTTCAATATCTTAATATCTTTTATCATTTTTTTCAAAGGTTAAAATTTTTAACTTTTTTAACCATTCAATATTCCCGGCATCCTTTTGCTCCTTAAGGATTTTCGATATAGATTCAATTATTTGAATAAATTCATCAAAAGAAGGTTTTTTTTATCTACCTCTACATCATCTTTATTATTGATTGCATGCGTTATTGTTGTATTTTGTGCCAAATGTTCCGTTGTTACTAAGCGCTCATTTTCATTTGGAATTATCAAAGAAGGGTAAGTATGATTACGCTTAACTAAATGGAAAAAATTCGTATCTAATGTATTACCATAAAAATGAATCAGATGTTTACAGATCATGAACGATTTTTGTAAGATAATATGAGTCCACAAATCCATTTAGTTACATCTGTTCCATAATTATTATTTTGTATAGAGTTTGAAGCTAAATTTTTCTACTCTGCTTTAAATTGTTTTTCCAATCAGGTGACCTCCCGTCCACAAAGAATTTGTTGAAGCTTTTCGATTAGTACGTGAAGTCACCTGACGATTTTTATTAGATAGCCTGCACGCGTTACATGTTTTTTTTCCATCAAAAAAGTCAAGAGAGTACGAGAGTACGTTTTTAAACATCCAGAACATGATTTTACTAGATTGCTTGAATCCATGATTTTATTAAACTTTGGTAAATGGAGAAAAAGAGTAAAATGGAATACATATTGTATTAATAAAATTTATTATAATATACATTATATACATTTTAGAAATGATCGACATCAAAAATAAAATTTCTGATCTGCGGGACAATGTGCATAATTTCTATGCCGATAGGTGTGAATCCTTCTAATGTAACGGAGCAAATTCATATTAATTAAATAGAAATAATGTTACTGAATTTGCAGAAACGCTTGATCTTCACTGGTAAATAATTGAGAGACGAAGACAAGACATTACAATAGTTATTCGGTATTTTTAATTTACGTAGGATTTTGACACATCAATCCGTTGGGAATTGGGATCTCTAATATCCAATTTTTTTACAAGCTTGTAATAATTTGTCGCAAATGCTTAATGATCTTTAAGAGTACAATTATTATTCTATTTTCATATAAAAAAATTAATTTCTTATCATTAAACAATACTCTCAAAATATGAGCCACGATACTTTGAAGTTCACTGAGATAACGACTCAATTTAGGAATAAAAATAAAATTTCCCTTAGTAAAAAAACTTCATTTTTCCGTCGTCTAAAATTTTTTTATTATATAAATTAAACATTGTAAATTTATATACAGTATTAAAATTGACTAATTAAATTCAATGCGCGTAAAGCATGAATAAAGACCTATCGTTTAGATACATAAACCTTCATCTACAGCAAACTCTTCCAATAACTCGAAAGAAATAATCATCAAGATACAACTGGAATAACTACTTTTAAAGTTTATTACACAGAGTACTTCAAACCACTACTTCCCATTTTCTTAAACAAATATTTTTTAGATTATTTTCATAATAAAAAAAATGATTTTAACTTCAACCCATCCCCATGAAGAAAATCTTGCACATAATCTTAACCTAAACACCTTCATTATACATTACTCTCAATTCATATGCTTTCCTAATTCTCTTAACTATACAAAAAAAAGAAAAAAATACATCGAATAATAATTCCCGTTACACATCAAACACGCTTAGCCTCAATTTCATCAATAAGGAATTTACGTTCCTTCTATATCACGACCAAAAATAAATATATCACGTCCTACACTAAGATAACTATAATAATAATATAAATATATAAATATATAAATCCATTTAGTTTAAATTAAATAATTAAATAATTAAATAATAAAGCTAGTAAAAATCCTTTCATACCTGGATGTATTTCTTTATTATGATTTAAATATTGTTGTAAATTAGATGAAAAAAAGCTCAACAGTATATGCTGCCAAATCATCCATTATTTTTTAAACATTGGTGATTGATTAGTTAAAGAAACTTGAATATTGAATTGTTGTTGTGCCAAATGAGCAGTCATGGCAGCAATTACGTAGCATTTTTAGGATCCTGAACACGTACTACTAAGTTAATTTGTCCAAAGATTGAGCATAAAAGTGAATATTCAAATTGTCTTCATGCTATTAATAGCATTTGTTGTTAAAATAGAATTCAGCCATATCACTATCTGATCAAGCTGTGAAGCGATTACTATAATAAATCTAATTAATAATTAGAATAATTGCTACTGACGGAATTTTGGTATAAGAATAATAATTTATAATCTACAAATAATATAAATTATTAGAGCTAATCATCAATAAAGTATATTGAAAATTTAACTTAATTGTAAATAACAACGAAGCCTCAAATCATAAATTTACATAATTGGTCTACTCTATTATTTGTTTTATCATATTCTCATCCGATTAAATCATAATAACAATAATGTAGAGAAATGAGAAAAATTTTCTATACAAAAAAAAACCCACGTTATCCTTGCGAAATCTCATCAGACTTTTTAATTCACATTCTTGTAACTTTTTACCAAGCAAAAAATACATTCCTTTAAAACTATTTCAATGTCATTATTTCGTTCCTCTTGTTGTGTTAATACGTCATTCATTTCAACTACCAAAAGTGAAAAAAGTATTTCTTTTCCATATTCAACTAATTACGTTATGTCGATAGAAATAGCATCAAATAGCTGATTAAGAGTTGTATTATTAGGCTTATGAATGTGATATCATTACAGCAAGGTGAAAGTATGTAAAAGAGAAAAAATAAATCGGCTAAATTAATTTTTCTAACTTGTCACGAGAACCAATCTCCTGTGATCCAACTGATCCATGCATTTTTTTGTGTGTGTCTAATGACACACGTTTGCTAGTTCTCTTACGAACACAGAAACAACCATTGAAAATCAGTCATCAGTAGGATATGAAGAACCAACAATTGAAAATCAGTCGGATATTACGAACGCAGAACCAAAAACTGAAAATCAGTCGGAAATTACGAACGCAGAACCAACCATTGATAATCAGTCGGATATTACGAACGCAGAACCAAAAAAATCAGTCGGAAATTACGAACGCAGAACCAACCATTGATAATCAGTCGGATATTACGAACGCAGAACCAAACAATTGAAAATCAGTAGGATATTACGAACGAAGAACCATACAACTGAAAATCAGTCGGAAATTACGAACGCAGAACCAACAACTGAAAATCAGTCGGAAATTACGAACGCAGAACCAACCATTGATAATCGGTCGGATATTACGAACGCAGAACTAACAATAATCAGTCGGACAGTCGGATATTAATGGTGTTTATTCCGAAAGCTCTATAACTAACTGCTCAAGAATCATATAAAGCAAAGCGCAAAATAAATTTCTGTATTTAAAAAAAAACATTAAACAGTTAGAAAACACTAAATACGTATAAATATATTCAATTTTTTTAGAAGACCTGAAAAGAAAACTTTAACCTACGTCAAAACCTCATTATTGCGATTTTTTGACTTATATATTTAAAATCGCTGTTTAAATTAATAAACCTGAGATTTTTATATTTTTAAAATGTAGACAAAGACGGGGATCATACGGGTTTGTGGGTCGAGCCCTTAACGAAGGAAAACTAACTACTAACACAACCGTACGCGTATACATCCAACCTCCTCCTAAGAAGAAATCTTATTGTAAAAGAACAATACTAGGCATGGCCAGCAGTGGAGTGATCCACACTATTCAAAATTGTTTTGTGTTTGGGTTGAAGTAACAAATGATCGTGATGCACAAACCTAATGCAAGTACACGTGCTAATATAAGTTTTTTTTTTCATAATTTTTTAGTTTGTGCTTTTGTTCAAGCTAAATTTGTTCTTTAGCAGGTACGAAAATCGGTAAGCTTTTAATAATTAATAACAGTTTTTTTTATGTTTCAACGTTTTTTATAATTAGAGAACGAACAAACTAATTCTTTGTTATAAAATATGTTTTCAGAACTCATTTTTTATATTAAAAAGTACTCTATGCATACACTGTCAAATGGAAACTTAAACTCAGTAGGTAAATGTTGTATATAATAAATTTGATCTTAGCAATTTTTTAAGAATTTTTTATTGTGGTAATTTATAATCGTGAAAGCTTTAGATTTAGTACAATCCCCTCTGTGATATTTCTTTTTCAAATCATGTCCTTCAAAACATTGAGGGACGTATTGTTACACTATTCATGGAAGCACCCAAATAAAAAAATAAACTAACTTAAATTCATTATACACAAAGGATTGAAACATTCTTTGCTCTCTTTTTAGAAAAACATCTTATTTAATCTCTTTTAAAATCTTGTTATGGATGGGGGGAGTACATCATAGAATTATTATAATTCAGCCATGATTCAGACGACAAATTAGATGATCAAAGCTTCTACTTCACAAGAAAACCTCTGTTTCAAAATCTTCTACGTTAACATTTCAATCAACACAGCTTAATCGAAGTAGGTAATTTTATGCTGATAGATGATCAAGTATCTCAAGTATCTCAGAAACCTGGATTATTTACAACTCCTAAGCGTTCGAGAAAAACTAAGAAACAATACCAAAAGCAATAACCAAAAAACGCTCAAATACAAAGATTGATGATGACAACATTGTTGTTTTATTAGAATAAGAATCATTGAATCAATATCACTTTCATCTCCCAAGGAAACGAAACATTGACAAAATGTAGCACATAAAACTCGCTATTATTTCGCCGAAGTCAAAAAACAGTATGTGGATGATGTTGACGATAAAAAATGTATCGGAGAAGGACGAGCGAGTATTACTCCTAGTAAAGTTCAAGATATCTCGGCGACAACCATTTCTACTCCTATAAAAGTAGAATAAAATTACTTGCCTGATATCACAGTAGATTGGTCTTTATTTGAATGAAGCTGATCTAACCACTCTGGAATCAAGAGAAATACAAGATGATAGAAATGTGCTTGGTAAAAATCTCAGGTGATTTATCTATGGTCATGTTGCTTTACAGCCTAGTTCTAAGTCTCATATAAAAAGTACGACAGCTTGAAATAGCTACTAAATGAGGAACAACTTTTAGAGATAGTTAAAACAGGTTAGAACTTCTTCCAATAAATTTGATATATCGTTCTCATCTCATCCTCTTAACCCTATTATTAAACTTCTGACAGTTACCTCACCTGCCTTAACTAAAACTGTACTATTTTGGAAAGAAAAATATTGCCAAATTCTTGCGGTGATCAGAATCTCGTGAAGATTTGTAAAGATGGCTTAATTTAAGATCAAAGAAGGAATATCTTATTGCAATTAACTCAAAGGGTGATCCTAATACTGGTGATACTAGGAACGAAAAAAAAAAAAACTTTTTTGAAGTCCGTTAATAACAAAAAAAAAAAGTTTAAGTCGATTAGTGATTTCTCAATCAAAGCACAAATGAGGTTACGGAAAAAGAAACACATATATTTAATGAAATCGATGGTATACCTGCTGGTGATAAGATTGATCAGGAAACAAAATACCCACCGTTTGTATCTGCATTATATAAAACTCAAACGTTAATGTTCTATTACCATGAAGCGAAGTTCAATAAAACCTCGGAAAAATCAGATTAGTTATGACAATTACAAGGGAGAATTTACAAATTCAACCAATGGATCAATTATTGGAGCCAATTCTGTTATTCGTCAAGTTTGAACTTGCTATCCGCATAGAAAGAAGATTATACATGATGATCATATTATATATAATTAAATAAAAACTTAAATCTTGCATCTCTGGAATTTTTTGAAAAAGCTGCTGATGGACCACAACTACTGCTCATATTATGTTCATGGTTATAGACTTATAGTAATGGAAGCATTTGTCCAAGCTTGCTGGGACAAAGTTTAAACAAGGTTTAAAGTCGGCTAAAAAAAATCCAATATCGCATATTATTATAACAAAAATTTCCGTTGGTAGAAGCGAAGGTCGTGAAGGCTATATTCCTCTTGTTAACCTTTGGTTGACCAAAAAAACTGAAGGTGTAGGTGATAACCATTGAATGATCAGAATCAAATGAGTGAAATGACCGAATAACTTAGGCTAATGACAAATGACTACATTGGTGTTAAAATGAACGTAAAAAAAAATTATTTTAAAAATATTAAAAATATTGAGAACACAAAATTATGAATCAATATACGATAACCAAAGGGCAATTTGATGCTATCATGAAATTCAAAGACGAGTAAACTAAACCTAGTAATTCAAAGTCTTAGTACTTCAATTCTCTGGTGCGTTAATTGCGACGTTGCATATTTGGTAGAAAATTTCAAAAATTGTCTAGCGGTGATCCAAAATTAGATAAGCATACACAAAAGAATGCGAAAGAATATATGGACTTTCTTGAATTGGATTGATTTCTCTAAATTTGACCTTATAAAGTATACTGGAAAAGAAGGATCTTTTTCTACTATATACTCCGCTTTGTGGACGGAAGGTCCATTTTGGGAATTGGGATAAAGCTGCAAGTATATGGTCCCGTGGTGGTCCGACAAAGGTTATACTTAAACGTTTAAATGATTCAAGGGAACTATTATTACACGTTCTTTTCTTAAAAATATCGAACGTGATTACAGTTAACTTAGCAAGTTTGTTATACTGATATGAATGATTTTATTTTATTGAAGAGTAAGTAGCTCCTGATCACGACGACGTAATCGTTAATGATGACCTTGCAAAGGATCGTATTTCTAAGGAAGTGGGCGAAGCAAGAGGCGGCGGACGTAGTGCACGTGTGGAAGTTGTGATGGGTTGGCCACAGTGTATTGTTGCATCATCGATATATACCGATATTGTATTTGATCTTCTCGGGTCCAAGTTTTCTTATTTGCCATTTAACACATATTTGGAAAAATTTTTGAGGGTAATGAGTACATTTCCCGATCGAAATAATAAATGTGGTGACAAAAGGTATATATATATATATATAGTTTGAGATTTATCAGCGCAATTAATACTCAATGGTTAAACGACAATAGACAATTGTAATGTTAAAAATGTTTATATTATATTACAAAATTTATTTTTTTTTTAAAAAAAAAAAATGAATACATGAAATGAAAAATAATTGTTAATTAATAATATAATAAGGAAAAAGAAAGGGGAGGTTCCTTTAAAGAAATAATAAAAACGAAAATAAAAATAAACTATAAAATAAATGAATACACGAAGTAATTAATTTTTAATATATTGTATGATGTATATAATTCATATTCAAATATCGTAGCTATTATATTTCAGCTTTTTCATACCAAGGAGCAGCTATTTTTAAATCTTTTTTAGTACCTATTCCTTAACTATAACAATATGTAGTAACTGTGACCACTTTTAATAGTAGAGGAAATATTAGATTTTCGTTTAAAAATAATCAATAACATAATGTAATCAATCATAAGGATAACTTACTTTCCCGTTTACATTTTTATTTACTGTGATTAAATAATTATACGGAATTTTAATTGAAGTTTTAAAATTTAAAGATTTTTTAACATCTTTATTAAATTCCGTATAATTAGGTCGGTCATCACACATTATTAAATTTTTTATTAATTTGAATTATTTGAATTATTTGAACTTATGAAAGAGGTAATGTTTAAAAGTAAATCTGTAATTATGATAAGGAAGGTTCTTTAAGACTTTGACAATACTGATCTGAAATTTCTTTTAAATAAAAATTTGTCACACATAAACGTTATCGCCAGATAATCTTGATAATCTGAAAAAATTTGGGTATGATCAATTAAATCAATGAATTGAATGAATTGGGCTTATGTTATATATTGATTATACAATATATTGCACTAAAAATGATATTAAAGATCTTTATAATAAATAATTCTCGTAATTGCGAGGAAAGACTGGATGAATTAGAAATTGCCACACAAACAAGCTAAGAATAAAAAAAAAAAATACAAGAATTTCGTGATAAACCTCTCAAAAATTCCTCTCACCCTCAAATTTCCTTTTTTCTTCTTTAGATTCCCTCAAATTTTCGTTATTAAAAACTTGAAAGCTATTTTAATACCATATTTAGGAACGTTTAA